CACACACACACACACAATCATATCATACACAACAAATCATCCAACAGTACTTCAGTTCCTTTTGGTTGGTCCTTTAGAAGACATATCATCTGCAAACAGATGTCCCCGTGGACGGTTAGAATCAGTGCACTGTGAGCTTGAAGGCACGTGAAGAAAGCTCTGGGGACGACATGGAACTAGAAAGGTGTAAAACTTTCCCCAAATCTGCTGTTTAACAACCAACATACTGGCCTATCCTGTATATGCTGAACTAAAGTACTTGAAGAAGTTCCTTACTACCCCTGGGATTCTCACATGAGTACTTTTTGTAGACTACATGGCTCTCTTAATTCTTAAATAAAAAACATTGTCAGCCAAAAAAAAAAAGTGTATAAATAACAAAATCTCTCAACCACTGCAAGTTTTCAAAATTTGGGCACAACTCAACTTCCTCTTCACCTGTAACAGCCAGCTTGGATTAATTTGAGAGCTCTTGTATTTGGCCAAAAAGTAACTAGAGGAACAGATTTGACTCCCTCTACCTACCATAAGACGGCACGTTATTTGGACTAATTTTATCTTTTCAAACAGAAAAAGGATTTGAAACATATAAAGTAGGCAGAGACCAGGAGGAAACCAGACCATGCTGCCAAGCCAGTGGGTCTCCATGAAGGCAATCCTCACCCCACAAAGAACACTGGCAATGCCTGGAGACATTTTTGGTCTTTGCAACTTTGGATAAAGGAGAGGATACTGGTATCTAATGAGCAGAGACCAGGGATGCAGCTAAGCATTCCAGAAAGGCACAAAGCAGTGTCCTAAAATAAAACACGTTCTGGACCCGAATATCAGCTATGCAGAGATTGAGAAGCCCCGTGCTAGAGCAAAAAGAATGGAGTTGGAGAAAGAGATGCATTAAAATTTGATTTATAGTTTAGGAAGAACTCTTTCTAAATACACAGTTTCTTCCACATTGGAACCCAGAATTGACCTGGAATGTTTCAAGGGACCTTTATATACATCTTCTGTCCACCAAATAAAGGAAAAATGATGGTCAAGCTGCCTGCTAATTAGCAGGCAGCTAAAACACATCAAAACTTGAGTATTCCCAACTGGGCAATTTCGAAGCGAGCAATCCACTAATTAAAAATGCTGGAAGTCGAGCTTTTTCAAAACAGGTTAAATACTGGCTGGGTTCCTTCAAAAATAGATTCCCAACCAATCAGATCCGACTGCTCTTTTCCCATCCTCTCCCATCTCCATCTTGCTGGTTGCCTGGACTCATGCTGCCAGTGCCTTCTTTTCTGCTTTCTTCCTTTTATTGCTCTCTTTTGTACAGGCTCTTCCCTCCCTTGGCCTCCTGTTAGATCTAGAGGATGAGGACAAATCGCCAGCTCTACAAAACCCAATAAGTAGAACTATCGTATGAATTCTAATTGTATTTTATCTGGAAAAAAAAATCTATATAACTGATGCTCATTTACTCATAGCAATAAGAGACAAAGCTATAGCTTGGATACCGGTCATTCATAATGCAGGTAAACATGTACTTTTTCAGTCATTTGTTTCCATCTTCCTTCCCCTAAGCTTCCTCAGACCTGCCAGTTAGTGAGCAGGCATTTCCTCAATAACGAGTCCAGTGGAGCTCAACACGCAGCCACCTACATATCGATCACCTGGCATGCTCATTTCAAAATAGTTTCTTAGGGGCTATCTCAGACCTACTGAATCTAGGACTTCAGGGGTGAGGCCAAAAAATAAATAAATAAATGTGCTTTTAACAAGGTCCTCGGGTAATTTTCATGCGCACAGGTGTCTGAGAACTACAAGACTGTGCTGTGAGAGACACAAGACAAATCCTGCCCACATTTCTACAATGGCCAGTCTCACTCCATACTGCAGCGCTCCTGTCTGGGCTGCCAGGTTCAGCAGCATTCAGTACACACTCCCATCTCATCTGCATCCCATGGGATCCTGTCTAGACTCACCTTTTATGTAAACCCTGTACCTGACCTACACTTGGCCGTCTGGTATGCCCCACTGAACATTGCCCATGCTTCAGTTCGGTCAGGTCTTTGTTCCTGCTATTCCTTCTGCCTAAACTGTTCCACACCTCCCAGAAAAGAACAGCAGCTCACACTGAGCCCAAGTGCATGTCAGATACAGAGCTAGACAGTGTAACATCCTACAGTCTCCCAATCTGATATATGAAAAAACTGAAGCTTAGATGGGATACAACCTGGTCCAAGGTGTCAGGAAATGGCAGAGCGGGAACAAAATCACAGGTGCTGTGGGATGCTGAACCCAGTGAATACGTTTCCTCCGCCATCACAAATGCCTCCCTAGGAGGAATTTCCTCTCTTTATAACCAGCTAGGATATTCCCTCCTGTCACTTTTCCCAGACAGTGTGAATGTATTTATTTGGGAGCTTCCAATCCATTCTTGTGTTTACAAAAGAGTACAGAAATCACACACAATATTAAATACATATAATTTTTGAGAGAATCAAGAAGATAAAACATAGACAAACTGAAACAATAATGCCAGAGGAATAATTGGCTTATCAAAATGCATGCTGTGACACACTGGGTACTTGTTAGAACTGGGTCAAAGTTTAGAAGTTATTAAGTAGGTCAAGTAAAGAGTGAAACAAGACAATACCAATCAGATAAACACACCAAACTGCCCAGGAGAAACACAACTAGCCCTGATATGAAACTTGATGGAAAAGCCTACAGCCCCCCCCCCAACAGTGGATAGAATGTGACAGAGCTGTCCACAGTGTCAATCAATGGCACTCAGGTGAAGTCTGTGAGGGGCCTCGATACTGCAGTTCACTAAGCACGCAGGATTTATCACACCGATAGCCATGGAGGTGTGCACACAGTGACACAGCTACACGTTTAAACACACACACGTTACAGAAAGAAATATGCTTAACTCTCTAAGTACCCCTCCATGTCATAATACTAGCTGGGCCCACTGGTTCCCCACAGAATTAAAACATCTCCAGGTAGAAAGCAGAATATAATATTGAATGAGAATGTTTACATCTAGATGGTGAGGAAAAGCAATACAGGAGAGGTGTGTGGCTCCAGTGTGGCTTTTCAGTAACAAAAGCGCTGTCTGGACGTCCAGTTGTCGCTGCGCTCCTGTTAGGGTGCTGACCCCCTTTAAGATGGGAATGAAAAGTCAAGGTGAGGGGCTGGGCTTGCAGCTCAGCGGTAGATGCTTGCTTAGCCCATGTGAGGCCCTGGGTTCGATCCTCAGCACCACTTTAAAATAAATAGATAAAATAAAGGTTCTGTGTCCACCTACAACTAAAAAACTTAAAAACAAAACAGAAAAAAGCCAAAGCCATATCCTGGTAGCCTGAGCAACAGGGAAACAGTGGATGAGACAATCACCAGCCCAAAGACTGA